AAGAATATTATGAATAATAATTTAAAATTGTATTAGTTAACAGTTAGTTAAAATTATTTTCGATTTTTCCTTATTATTCTTTTAAGCACAAATAACTGAAATTGTGGCATTTACCCCATATTTTCGTAGAACAAAGAACGGTTTTTTGCCGGTGCAGCTATAGATATGCTCCCGCCCAGCTGTCTTAGGAGTATCCCTAGGTGTTTTTGTGTGATTTTATGCATTTAATTTATTAATGAGCTAACCGCAGCGAATTCTTCATTCGCAGCGCCTGATTTATGTGGCATCTGCTGTCAGTAGGAATTTCTGATGGCTGTCAGGGAGGTCGAACAATTGCTAGGTGCGGGTAGCCGGTTGCTGATTCCTCCTGGTGCCAAAGGGTTCATTAGCACGCCAAAGGATATTTACACTACAGGACAGACGGCGGGCATAACAACAAGCAGGAACCGTGTGACTTATGTAACTTAATAGGCTGATGAAAAATGGTTAAGAGATTTTTATCACTCGACATGCGGAGACAGACAGAAGAAGGCAAACAACATGTGGCAGAGGCAAAGGCGATGCCCCAGCCAAATTGCAGCCACATGTGTGGGTGCACGGAAAGAAATCAGTACTATAATTGATCATTTATTTTCAGATTAATACTTATCTCAGCTATTTCAATATTAATATTTTTCAAAAAGTGCATTGTAAATAATAATGCATTTTAATTTATTTGAAATCTTATTCATTTTGACTTTACAAATTTAAAATTTCATAAAAACTATACATTTTTGTCCATGTATGAGACCCCTGCCATCCGCATTGAAGATGAAGATCATCAGAGAGCAGCGGCAGCAGCGTCCAAGCACCGCTAAACAAATTGAAAAATTTCAAGTCCTCAGCCTCTTGGCGCTCGCAATTGCTCAATCCGCGTATTTTCGCGTGCTGCACAGGAAAATGAAATGGAAAAGGAAAAGAGGGGAAAATGCGGAGAGCACCCAGCACTGAAAATGAGCAGAGGAACAGCAGAGTGTCATCAGCGGGGTCTTAGTGATGAGCAACGAGTCTTTTCGATTTGGTAAAGGGGTGAATGGATCTTCGGAGAATTATTGTATAGAATTAATGATGCCGAAAGCACGGAAAGAGTGTACAATATACCAGCTATGATTCACTTGTAATACCAAGAATGTATGACAAAGAGGCCCATATAGTGGGTGATGGTAATTAAAAAATGTTTCAAAATTAGGTCGTAATATATTTTAAGCAACAATATAATAAACATTTCTTGAAATCCTCCAAAGGATAATTGTTTGACATGCTATTTTATAAGACTTAAAGAGATACAAATTATTACGATTATCAATAATGCAAATGATATTTCTAGAAATATTTATTCAAAAATACACAAAAATTCAAAGACTGAAAATACGTTTTAATACATTTATTTCAAGGGACAATAAGGCACTAAACATGTGTTTTCAGTTTTATATTTTAAGTTTTCCCTTATTAAGCTGTCACATTATTTTGGTGTTTTAATCAAAATCCTTGACTCCTTTAAAGAGTTGGACGATTATATCGGACTCCGGCTGCTTAATCTTTCAAGATATATAATATAAATATATACATAAACATCCTAGTTTTATTGAATCCTTAATTATTTTTTGGGAATCACAAGATTCCTGGGTATTCCTTCCACATCCCTTGGCTCGCATCAGGCAGCTCATCACTGCTATCTAGATAGAGATACATATTGGGCTCGCGTTTGCGTTCGCGCGTTCGCAGAGCGCACAAAAGTCACTCGCGGGTGCGCCATGGAGTGGTGGCATAAAATCGACATCGGAGGCATCTGAGGCCTTTCAGGCGGCCGATGAGGGAACCATGGGGTCTGGGTCTCATTGGGCATTTCGAGCGAGCGCACTACTGCGTGCGGAATTTTCTTTCCTCTCGGCTCAGTCTGTGAGAAATCGTTGGCGTGTTCGGTTCGTTTGCTTATCGGAAAGTCGGAAATTTGGAAATTCGGTTGCTTCTTGGTGCGGGTGGCGGTAAACGGAAAACGCGGAAAACTCTGAGCGCGCCCCTTCAGAGTTTTTCCATCTTGAGTGGGCCAGTGTATGTGTAAAAAATAGAAATTTAATTTATTTTTAAGTTTCTGTTTTTCCTTCCCCATCTTTACGGTCTGCACTTTTCTGTCAAGAATTCCGGCTAAAAACTCATTGTGAATGGAAACGTTTGTTGTTGTGCCTTTGGATATCTTATTGGGGAAAACACAAAAGATACAGAACTTTGCAAATTGACCGTGAGTGCGGTTTGTTCTGATAATTCTGTGAAAATGGCTAAAGGGCTAAGTCGAACAAAATCAGTGATCTCCACGGAAGTAAACGAAAGATGTGTGCGAAAGCAGCTGAGAAAAATTAAATATAAATCATTTAATTTTAAGGCATAAGAGTGTGAAAAATGGGCTGCTGAAATCTTTGGCAGAAAGTCGAGAAAATGAATGAATCAAACTGTGAGAAATGAAAATAAAGGCCGCAAAACAAATGTGAGAAACGAAAACTGTGCCAAATTAAAGAGTGATATAAAATAAATTGTATAAATAAAATGCAAATTTGTTATCTGAAATCCGACATAAAAGAATAGCAAATAAATCGGAAGAATTGGATTAATAACTCAATAAATCAAGTAATACTTTCTATAAATCACAACATAAATTATAAAACTTAAAAGCTTAGTTCTGCTGGGATATTTCAACTGTACCCATTCTACTCCACAAGTGGATACATATTTGCACCAATAAAATTCATATTTGTGACATATGGTGCAGAAATCGCACCAAAGCACAACTCCATTCATCAATCGCAGTACTCAACGACCATAAATCAGAGTGCCCAAAAAGAGTGTGACTAAATCATCGAATGCAACTGAGACGGAGGAAAAAACTCTGCACACCTTGGAGGCTTTTGAGTTAGGAAAGCGATCAAATCGGCGTGGGCAGGCGACGCCTACCAATTTTCCATACGAATACAGCATTTTCATGGCTTATCAAATCAATTTTCGATTTGGTAGAGCGGTATTTTGTTGGCCTTTTGTTTCCCCAAAACTTATGTGTGCCACCAATTTTTAATTACCATAAAAAATATAAACTAGTATCACGGAAAGAACTTTCCCAAAAGTGCATATAGCGGCAGCTGGCAGACTCCGACTATCCGGTAGATACATTTATTAATTTTTATGTAAATGGGGAAACAAGTTGGGGGAAGAAGCGGGAACACGCGTCTGTCATAAAAGGCACCCTGGCGATTGTCACTTTATTTTTTCGGTTTCGGTGTCGTCTGCAAGCGGCAAGGCGTTTCAAATTGTATTTTGACTGCTGCGACGGGCTATAAAAATATTCGAAACGACAAGAACTTGGGCGGTGCATATAAAAATTAACAAGCAGAATTAGCAGAGCGAACTTAACAAGAAGGCAAGACACGACGACTGCGACTGCAGTTCCTGGAGGCTGTGCAATTGACCTCATGATGTCGAACCTGCCGCAGTTTCGTGCTGCATTTTCCCTCAGAAATACATGCATAAACATAGGAGAGTTGTCTGGCGGTATTTTTAGCTACCCCGGCGTAAATAATTCATTTTCCAGTCACAGTTGTTGACGTTTTGGCGTCGCCCGGAGTTTCCTTTTCCTTAGGGGATCTAGCCCCCTTGGGATTACCAGTCCCTCTCGATTTGCATTCTAAACTTGAAAGTGTCCTATTTTTGGGCTACACATTTTCTTGGCTACCCAAAGCCCATGAACTTTGACTGCTGTTGCAAAATCTCGAACTAGAAATTCCACTTTATAAGACAAAATCCCTCATATTGTCGGGAAAAGAGCTTAGGCTACCCGACCACTTAAGGCCACTTTTTATGGTGCGATCCCCCGCCCCGCCAGCCCCAAAAAAATACAATAAATTTTACTCAACTGTGCAGCAATTTCCACTGAAGTGGAGAAGCACACTCGTATCTCGAGCATGCTGCGGCAGCAACTCAATTAAGTCTCCATAAAGTATCTGTAGATACGCTAATCAATGATATATATGTATTTTCATATGTAACCCCAGAGCTTCGGAGGTCTTCGGTACTTGAATTTATTAGAGATTTGTTTGGCTTAAAATCTACGGCAATTAAAATAGCAATGAATGACTCAAGTGGGAGATGTATATAATATCCAAGGAATATAAAATCAAATTGATCATAAAATCAATGAAAACAAATCTTAACGAAACGTGAACGAAACTAAACCATGTGCACAAAAAAATAATTCTTTAAATTCTTAATCGAATTAAATATATTTATAATGAACCATTTTTTAAAGTCGGATATGAATTTTAAAAAATACCCTTAGTCTACCAATCAAAAACTGAAAATTACATTTTCCCAAATACACTTTTTTAAACAAGAAAACTAAATTTAGTGTTCAAATGCCTATCGACACTATATCACAATTTAATATTCCCTTCCAAAAACGGTTTATGGGCATTTAAATTATTTTCCTAACTGACCAATTAAAAATGCATAAAACGTGCCGTATAAATCCCAGTAAAAATTTAAATAAAAAGGAAAGCAAATACGTAAAACCCATAAATCTATTTCCAATTACAGTGAAGTGTAATTGCCAAGAAAAATAAAACAAATAAACGGCTAGGCGCATCAATCGTCAGTGTCAGTGTGTTTATGATAAAACTTCAGCGAAATTGAAACGTAATCGGGCGAAAGTTGGCTGGCAAAGTGCGTACATAAGCGGACAAGGAAATTAAGAGAAGCAGCCGCTTCAAAAGGAAGCCAGTTCGACTGTCAGTCAGTCCGTCAGCCGGCCGGATTCGAGGTGATGCCCCTTCCTGCCTAGAAAACTCATGAGTTCTGTCAACGAAATGACATGCAGCATCTGTCTATGTGGCCATCGGGCCAGGACGTGATGCTGTGAAGCTGTGCCGCTGTTAGAGAGGAAACCTCGATGCCCCGATGATGCTATTTTTATGACACGCAAAATTATTAAAGACGAAAAACAAAAACGAAACGAACGAAGCGCGAGTGGTACTTGGGGTTTCGGATCTGTGAGTCCCGGTCCCAGTCCCCCCATCATTTGATCATCCTTCCCAGCAACCATATATCTTTCGTAAATAACTTCAAAGCAGCTGCAACGGAATGTCGCGCCTCCGTGGATTAGGAAGGCTATGGCTGTTATTGCTCGCCATATTGCAATTGCAAACTGTCGCAGCCATGAAAGGTGAGTTAAAAAAATGAAAAAAAATAAAAAAAAGAGTTAACAAGAAGCTGCGACACAGAACGTACAGTTAATTAAATGTTACGACAGTCAGGTAGCCAAAGATACGTGCCCCAGAACTTAATACCGCGCATAAACATGAGATTTATCATGGCAAATGATCAACGCACGATTTATGCTCATTACAAATATGGCCAGCCACGAATTGGCCAGCCACAAAAAAAGCGGTCCAGAGAGGCAGAAGCAGCTGAAGCCAAATTGCATTTACTTTGGCTGCCATCGAAGCCGACATAAATAAAAGTCAAAATAAAGAGTTGCAAATGGTGCAGTGCCACATACATTTTGGTGTTACTCGCGTGCGCCAAGGAACAGATACAGTGGGTCGTTCTGGTCAGAATCGAGCTTAAAATGTGTTCTAAAACGGGTATAATATATATACATTTTATATTTTAAGATTTTTTTAGCAATGTTTAACTAAAAAACTTTAATAGAACATAATTTTAGCTCTAATCGAAATTCAAAAATTTATTATGGTTTTTAATATTTTTGAAGTCTTTTGAACAATGAAGTCTCATAGGACAATAGAGAAATTTTAGATAATTCATTTAATGTTTAAATTTTTGAGTTCTTTAACTTAAACTTAAGTATTTCCTGTCATAAAAAAAAACCTACTTATACCGTAACTGTTCCCACGAATATTCCATTTTGACCTCTTGAACTTTTAAAGATTTATTTCAATCCATTTCTCTGACTAATTTGACCAACTGGTCGCTGTCTACTTTGGGCTTCCTTCCTGTTGCTATCTATCCCAGATATATATATATGTACGGCTTTCCCCGTAGTTTGGCATTCGCAATGCTCCATGGTAACCCCGGCCGGCCCATAAAATCCAACTACTTAACTACAATGCGCCGCTGCAGTGCACTTAACGCATTTTTCACGCTTGACATTTGACTTGGGGCGCACTTTTTTCGTTGTCGTCGTCGTTTCTGCTTTTCTGCTGCCTTTTGTTGTTGGGCCAAGGGAAACGCAGAGTATCTAAAACTCAAAAACTCAAAGTATCTGTGCGGTGCACCGCAAAAGCTATCCAAAGTCAGGCGTGCTCTTAATTTCGTTGTATCCGACACACAAGGAGACATACTGAAATGTGTGCGATATATATTTTGGTCTTGGCGCAAATGTGTTTTTAACGATATTTTTAGTCGGCATGTGACGTCACTTGGGGGCTAAGAAGACAAACGTGAATCATCCGCAGCAGGCGCAAATTGTTTTTCTTACTTTTTTTTAGTCTGCCTCATTTGATTTGTTCTACACTTGAATAAATATATAAATAAATTAAGTTCAAATAGGTATTGTTTTTCAAATGAGTTTAAAGATGTACTTGTGATACGTATTATTCCTTACAAAGATTTTTAATCGTTTTTGTATTTTCATTGATATATATTTTTTTTTCTTTTGCTTGAGGTAAATAAAATCTATCGTTAGGACACTTTTTTTTGCCTGTGTATTTAAATATATGTTTTTTATTTATACGTGAAATGTAAATCATTTACACGCGCAAAGCGTTGTGCCAAATTTAACATAGACGTGTGTGGATACAAATGTATCTACACGTTTGTATCCGTATTTGTATCTGGTGCGCGCCATCTGCCGATCTGTGTGTCGCCTCTTGATTATTCATTTGCATTTGCAATATAAATATCAACACATGCTCAATGCTAACTGCAGGCGCAGTAAAAAACGGTTGCGTGCATATAAAATACAACAATTTATTTTGGCGACTTTGTGTGCTCTCCATTTTTCCCCCTGAGTCATGAGAAAATCGTTGTCTTTATGACTTGTCGATGCAATGCTCAATTGTCGATAGTTGCAGTCTACCCTTCGCAGATACATAATTGAATTTTATGCGGCCCCGGAGTCTAATTAGGGCGAAGACGTTAGCAATGGCGACACATGTTCGACCATCGCAATACATTGAAGGCCATAAAACGAGGGAAGCGGCATGGAAAAGTCATCTCAAAGGGGTTCTTCTGTGCGGTTTTTATTTGATTTAGATTGATCTCTTAAGCCAACCGATGGGGCCTTAGAATGTGGCAACGATTGTAAATGGGCGAGGAAACTATTTTGACGACTACTTGGAGATCACAGGAATTACTGCAATGATTATAGCAAGCGAAGAAATTTAAGAAGGCTTTCTTGGAGCATTTGGGGATTCTCTAAAATAAATATTTCAGCCAATGAAATTTAAATGTATTCAATCTGTGGGAAGTGTCAATTGTGGGAAATTCATTGATGCAACCGTGAATCCTACTTTAAAATAGAGAAAAATAATACAGTACATTCAGTCTAAAATACTGATTTGATAAAATCATACTATTCATCATTATTACCAAGCAAACAAAAACATAAAGCTAGAAACCTCCAACATACATAAATCATTCCTAATAAAGAGTTTACAAACTGCTCCATTTTAATGCGCACTCTATTGAAGAGAAATCTTGGATACGGCCAACCTTAGAGAATCGTTTTTAATCCCCGATCACCTCAATTTCTTAGCCAATAAAGCTGGAATCCCATTCTCTAGCTCGACCATCAATTTCCCTACTCACGTCCATAAGCAGAACTCTCAGCTCCATAAATATTAACTGCACGTTGCAACAAAAATCCACTCAAGATCACGTAATAAGCCCACAAATCACAAGCACCACTAATAAACTCTGACATTATTAGTGAAATGAAAACTACGAGTATGAAAAAATAATTTATAAATTGCCAATGTCAGATAAAGCTTTAATGATCGGCGACTTCAGCGGGCCACCAAAGGAGCATTAATTAAAGGCCAAAACAGAGAAGCGAAAAGAAACATGATCATAAAATCTATAGAAAACCGAATAACTCCAAAGCCATGGAGACACCGGGCGACATATAACTCAAATAAAATAAACATTGGCCATAACATAAATATTCGCTGGCTACCTACCCAGCTCCACCTCCGTGCTGCATAAAAGATAAACATAAATTTAGCATTTGATAGGGGAGTTGCATTCGGTGGGGCTTTGGTGGTGCCGAGAGTGGGTGGAGGTGGAGAGGTGCCCAGCATCTGTGGCCATAAGTCTTGCGTCGTGTGCTCGCCTCTGATGTTTTCCCCATTTTTGGACGGACTTTTCCTGATGATGTCTCATTTGTTGCCGGCCGACACTTGAAATGACTTCTGACGCTGATGTTGATGCTGATGCTGATGCTGGGGCTGCTCTCCTCCGGCTGCACCACATTTGGTTGATGCAAATTGCATTTATTGTTAAGCGTCCAACTTCCTGAAAGGCATGTGTTTGCCCTCACAAAGGGGTGATTATATCGCACAAGATTGGCAAGAGAAAAGGAAATTTTTTGACAAGGCTTTTTGATTGTTTTGCAAAGCATTTCTGCAGTTAAGACAGCCGTTTTCACTTAATGTTAGAAATGTATGTGTTAAGTACTTTAACTATTAATTTTCAAAGGAATTAACTGTTGTCAAAAATAATTAGGTCTTTTCAAAAATTTCTTAAGATTATATACAAAATTTGACACCATTTAAAATGAACTATTTAATTAAATGGTGTAATATTTTTTTTAATTTTTAGTCAATAAAAGTAATGAACTCCTTTTAGTCCCATAAAAATGTTGTTGTTCTTTCATGTACGTTTTAAAATAAATAAATGTCCATTTTAATTTTTAAATTTCTGTAAAATGTATACTCTTTTCCATTTACATTTACAAAATTATTTTATTCAAGTTTGCAAATCTTGCAAAAATGATTTTGGAAGAGTATTACCATTTTCGGTTACCGGTCCCCTGACCAATTTGTTATTGTTTAACCAACGATAACGCCTCCACATCTTTGTTCGCCTTTGTTTTGGTTTGAGGCACGCGCATCTTGTGAAGATGAAAAAGTAGCATTTTTTACGGCAGCCGGGCATTAATGTGGGTCAAATGCTTGGGCCCGCAGATGGGAAAGTGTTTTTTCTTAGGTTTTCCGCCGCTTTTGACGCCTGATTGCTGCTAATTGGCGTCAAAATGGTCCGGCCAACGCATCAATGGTTGACTATTTGTTGCCCATTTCGTTTCGTCTGCCTGTTTATCCCGCCGTCTTCTGTTTGTCTGCCATTCGTATGCAACTGTTCCATGTTTATCCTACGTTTTCTATGTGGGTTAGGTCAATATGTCGCCTCAACGGCAGCGAAAAACATACGTATACAAATGGCCAGCAAACATTTTCCCTTTTGCCGCAGAGTTGTGAGAGAAATTCTTAAAATATCTCTGGCGCAAAGTTGAATTCCATGTTTTGACAAATTTGTGTTTCCAAAATAATTTATTGCACAAGCGTACAGCAAAATATAGAAAATCATTAATCATGCAATTTTTTACGAGGTGGAATCGTCTCGAAACCCGAACGAGAAATTGGAAATTATTCAAAGAACGTTCGAAGTCGACACACTCTTTTTTCGAGGTAGGGGAGAGTGGGGGAATTTCGTCACAGGGGCAATTTCGTCACATGCAATATCTCGGAATCCATAAGTCGTAAAAATATATAATTTTTTTGTTTTAGTCCTTCAAGACGGCCAGACACAACCAATGCATTTGTTTTGCACAGAAGGCCAAGATAATTAAGCTATAATATTAAATGTGTTTTAACAGTTCAAAAGCTACATTTAGTTCTCGACGAAATTTTTTCTGTATGCCACAATTCAAAAGGAATAAGATACACGATTTTTTATTTAATACACAGTGCTATAATGTGCATTTCTGCGTTAGTGATTTTTAACTTCGCGCCTAATTTCGGAAGAAAAATAATTATTTCTAAGAAAGTACTGTCTGGGGAAATTTCGCCACCCTACGCTAAGAGTAAATTCGCACCTATTTTAAATACATATTTTTATATTTGACGAGCTGGCTAACGAACAGACTACCAGCAGCAGCAACAAATATAGGACGTCAACAAAAATGGTACGCTTGATCAGTGTAGCATATTTACAGGCGTTAAACTCCCTACATTTTTCAGGTGACGAAATTTCCCCAGTTGTGTGGTGATTTTACCCCCCTGTGTGGTGAGATTGCCCCAGTATATTGGTTTTACATTTTATTTTTTTATAAATCACCAAGCTAATTAAAAAAATAGGGGAATGTCACATTTTAAAGCTTGGTGCTAACCGCATTTAACAATAAAAATAGAAATATGATAACGTGTCTCAAGATGGACAAAAAATAGCTTTGAAAAAATGCTGACGAAATTCCCCCACTCTCCCCTACGAGTATTTTCCAAGCAGAGCACGTTGGACTCAAACCCACAACTAATTAAGCAAATCAAGATACAAAAGATGGCTCTCAATAGATAAATGACTGATAAACTGACTGACTGACTGAGTGACCTCGACAGACATTGACTGGCAGCTCGACAGCTGATGGCCTGATCTCCTACGTTCCGATCTGGACAAATTTGTATACGGGTTGCAATAGAACGCGATTGCCATTCAAATTGGCGGCAGCTCTTGCAACATTATGAGTAGTGGACTGTTTAGTGTATCAATCTCCAGCAGCTGTAACTGTATCTATTTCGTTCGCGTGGATCAGTTTTATGGCCATAGAAATGACTAATGTAATGTGAATTAAGAACATTATTTTTATACCCGTTACTCGTAGAGTAAAAGGGTATACTAGATTCGTGCAAAAGTATGTAACAGGTAGAAGGAAGCGTTTTCGACCCTATAAACTATATATATTCTTGATCAGGATCACTAGCCGAGTCGATCTAGCCATGTCCGTCTGACCGTCTGTCCGTCTGTCCGTCTGTCCGTCTGTCTGTCCGTCTGTCCGTCTGTCTGTCTGTATGAACGCTGAGATCTCGGAAACTATAAAAGCTTGAGGATTGACATTTTGCATGCAGATCCTAGGAGTTCCTACGCAGCGCAAGTTTGTTTCAAAAGGGTGCCACGCCCCCTCTAACGCCCACAATCACTTATATGCGATTTTAAAAATGTCAATATTTTGGAAAAGTAAAAATGCAGTTTTATTGTGTTTATCAATACCTATCAAAATGCAGAAGAAATTTTTTAAATCGGACCATTCGTTAAAAAGTTACGGCGGATCAAAGTTTTTCTCCATCTCCTTCGCACTCCCTTTAGCTGAGTAACGGGTATCTGATAGTCGGGGCACCCGACTATAGCGTTCTCTCTTGTTAAATATTTATTAATGTAGCTAAATCTATTCATTTGTAAGATGTAGGGGAGAGTGGGGGAATTTCGTCAGCATTTTTTCAAAGCTATTTATTGTCCATCTTGAGACACGTTATCATATTTCTATTTTTATTGTTGAATGCGGTTATCACTAAGCTTTAAAATGTGACATTCCCCTATTTTTTTAATTAACTTGGTGATTTATAAAAAATTAAAAAGTAAAACCAATATACTGGGGCAATCTCACCACATAGGTGAGGGAACTTTACGCCTGTAAGTATGCTACACTGATCAAGCGTACCATTTTTGTTGACGTCCTATATTTGTTGCTGCTGCTGGTAGTCTGTTCGTTAGCCAGCTCGTCAAATATAAAAATATGTATTTAAAATAGGTGCGAATTTACCCTTAGCGTAGGGTGGCGAAATTTCCCCAGACAGTACTTTCTTAGAAATAATTATTTTTCTTCCGAAATTAGGCGCGAAGTTAAAAATCACTAACGCAGAAATGCACATTATAGCACTGTGTATTAAATAAAAAATCGTGTATCTTATTCCTTTTGAATTGTGGCATACAGAAAAAATTTCGTCGAGAACTAAATGTAGCTTTTGAACTGTTAAAACACATTTAATATTATAGCTCAATTATCTTGGCTTTCTGTGCAAAACAAATGCATTGGTTGTGTCTGGCCGTCTTGAAGGACTAAAACAATAAAATTATATATTTTTACGACTTATGGATTCCGAGATATTGCAGGTGACGAAATTGCCCCTGTGACGAAATTCCCCCACTCTCCCCTACAAAGCAAATACATTTTGTAAATACTCAAAAGTATCATGTATGTGTATCCCGAAAATTTACAAAATATACCGTAAGCAGATGAGGAATATTAGGTTTTTTCTTAAACTTAAAAAATACACATAAAACACAATAGACCTTGAAACGGTAAAAAACATATGATAAAATTTGTACAAATTTCGTCTATAAAGAATAATACTATTTTTAAAAAATTCCAAATCTCAAATTACCTTTTAAAGCTACAGTATCCATTCATGCCCTAGTATCTCTATCAATATTAATTCTACGATTTCAATTTGTCCTCGCCATCTTTCCACCCACAGTTTCGCTCTTCGGCGATGGCTATGTTTCGATGCCGCTGCAGGAGGCCAAGATGTCAACGAACATTCGCGTCAAGTTTCGCACCAGGCAGGAGAACGCCTTCCTCTTCCTGGCCGCCGGACGGACGGACTACTGCCTGCTGCGCCTGGAGAGCGGGCTGATCAGTTTCAGCTATAAAATCGAACGGGATGTGGTGCAGGTGAGCCATCGATTGACTCCCCTTACATATGAGCGCAATTACAGCGATTCCGGTTACAGTTGCGCTCGCCGAAAAAGCAAAAGCTCAACGACTTGGAATGGCACGATGTGGCGGTGCAACGGTTCGAGAATAATATCACCTTGCAGGTGGACGGCTTTATAATGCGCAAACAGCTCCCAGGCGATCTCACCGCCCTCAATATCCATTTCGGTACACTTCTGGGCGGCGTGGGGGACTTTACGGCCGGCTACTTGAATGATGTTATCGGTTTTCGGGGCTGCATATCGGATGTGAGTATATCAACCTATTAACCTTGAAAATTAAGATATTCTCACTATTTACAGTTTTATATATTTTTTAAGACCGTGCTATTTTAGATCCATTATGAATTCATAATTTTTATATTTTTGTTTATTTCAAATACCATGACAGGTCTTTTACAACAATATCAACATCATCAAGCGGGCCAAGGACCGCACGAGTCACACCACCAGCACTGGAGTTGCCTGGACCTGCAGCACCGAGTTCGATGGTTCGATACAGGATAGCATTAGTTTCATGAAGAACGATTCCTACGCACTGATGCTGAAGGAGTCGCATGCCATTGGAGAAACGTGAGTTCGAGGGAAATAAATCTCAGGCCTTAAACATAGAATTTTTCGCATACACACAAAAAAAAAGCATGTTTCCGTAAAATCGATATGGGCATGTAAATGTCAGGTCATGCAATATCGTTTTTACATGAAATACTCTATTCGAACAAGTAAAATTTACCTGGCCGCATATTAAATTAAAATCGATCTTAAGTAATGTAAAATCGATCTACGTTTCATATATATATATTTTTTTTGGTGTACCTTTTCCAGTCTCTCCTTGGATTTTCGCACAATGGCTAGTGCCGGCGTTATATTCTTCAATGGCGGCTTTGATTTTCTGCTCCTCGAAATAGAAGACCAGCGCTTGAAGGTGACCTTCAACAAGGCCGGCAGTCTGGTGCAGTTCATGACAAATGAGCACATCTCGGATGGCAAATGGCATCGGGTCTTGTTGCGATACAACGCGGCCATTGCGGAGCTAATCCTCGACGATGCCACGAGCGGTTATCGAGGAGCTCACGCTAATGAGACCAAGGCGAGCATAAATCTCGAGAAGAGCGTCTTCTTTGGCGGCGTCCAGGAGGAGATGCGCCGCCGGCTCATCGGCAAGGGACTGCGAATAAACGAGATCAGCTTCAAGGGCTGCATGCGCGATATCCGGGTCAACGATCTACCACTGGGCTTCCCCGATATGGCCATCTCGCGCAGCTTGGCCCTCAACTGCCTGTGGAAGTATCCCTGCGTGGAGCACAATCCCTGCCTGAAGAGCGGCGTCTGCAGTCAGCATGGAGTGGACGGATTCATCTGTTACTGCGACCAGTCCTACTGCATCAAGGCTGATTTTCAGGGACCTTTTAAGGTGAGCATTTAATATTTTTAGGAATTAGTTTTACATTTATTTACTCACAATTTTCTTCTCAGATCTTCACCGAAACAAGTCCAGAACTTGAGCTGCTCTATGTTGCTCCCATGCAGCTTTTAGAAGGTGGCACTGCCTTCCTTTCCCCCCAGTTCATAGACATAATACTCGATCTACGTCGCTATCCCAGCCTCAACGAGCAATCCATTATTTTCCACGTGGTACATCAACCAAAGTACGGACAACTGTTGCAAAACTCAGCTGAAAAAAGAGACTTTGTGCCCTGCCGCACATTTAATCTGGTTGACTTGGCCCAAGATAAGGTGAAGTATGTGCATAACGGCCAGGAGAACTTCAACGACCATGCCACCTTGGATATGCAGGTCTTCGGGGATGTACACAAGATACCGGAGAATATATTGGGAAAACATAGGTTCCTCTTACACGCAAATATAACACCCATAAACGATCCGCCGCAATTGAAGCTGCATTCGCATAAAATCCTGCGAGTGATAGAGGGGATTGAAAGGGTGCTGGATGTGGATTTATTTAACATTGACGATCCCGATAGCGAGCCCGGAAACTTGATCTACACCATATTGCCGGCGAACAATCCCCAGGAGACCTTTGGTTGTTTTATGGTTGGAGGTGCGACCACATCAACCTTTTCGCAGGCCGAAGTGAATGTGGGAAAGGTATCGTATCTTTACAACTCCACAACAACGGAATCCGTTAGCTATCAACTGCAACTGCAAGTATCGGATGGCATCGAGACGAGTGATACGGTCTATCTGCCGATTTCCGTCCATCCTCTGGAGCTTCGATTGGTCAATAACACGGGCCTCATAATGATCCACAAGAGCTCTTTGCCCCTCACTCCGGCCAATCTGTCGATTGGCACCAATGCCGTGGACGAGCACATCGACATTAGGTACGATATCGTAAAGGCACCGCAGCATGGAGTGCTCCAGCGACTGAGGCAGATCGATGGCTCCTGGGTTAACGTGGACTGGTTCAGCGATAGCCAGCTGCTGCTCGGCCACATTCGCTATCTGCACAGCAGCGATTTCCCTTGGCAAGACGAATTCAAGGTGTGTATCGTAAAAACCAAACACGAGTTGGGCTATAAATGGGCAGGGAGCCAACACTAAATTGCATGCTTTGGTTAGGTGTAAGTTTCGGGACCTCAAAAGACTCCCAACATTCTCTAGAGTTGGTTAATATCACAGTAATCCATCATGCGTCAGTACTGTCATCTCAAAATTCTTCTTATCTAAAGTGTTAAGAAAATTTAAAAAACCTTTATTTAAATTTAATGCTTGAACATTTATTTAATTTATTTATATCCTAACAAGAGAGAACGCTATAGTCGTGTACTTCGACTTTTACATACCCGTTACTCAGCTTAAGGGAGTGGGAGAGAGATGAATATATGCACCAGTCAAAGCTACTGGCGCCATCTAGTGGCTGTTTCATTTTTTGGTGATCATAACTTTTTAATGGATTGTACGATTTTAAAAATTTCTTCTACATTTCGAAAGCTATTAGTAAACACAATAAAATGGCGAATACAATATACCACGAGTAATTCCACGAGTAACAGGTATAAAAATCCTAGTAAAATATGAAACCCACTTATTAATTTTACCATATAATATAAAATCCTTCAGACATCTCCCATTCCTCACTGCTCACTGCTCTGCCTAACTTTGCCCGATTTCTTTGCTGTCCAGTGTAGCCAATAAATTTGCATTGATTTCACTTTCACAGTTTATTGCCTCGTTTGGCTTTGTGACCACGCAAACGTTCGACTTCCGCATCACATTCACGCGCCTGCGCATAACGAGCAACCGACCCTCGCAGATATCGATCAATGGCAGCCGGGAGATTCTCCTGACCAGCGATATACTCTCGTACGAGACCACGCCCATCGGGAGCTTTCCGCGCAGCGTGATTTACAAGATAACGAAGCCAACGCGCTACGGGGGCATCTACGTGGAGGGATCCCGAAAGGCGGCCAAGCAGCTGGACTCCTTTACCCAACAGGATATAGAGAAGCGGAGAATTCGCTATCAAACGCATCACACTAGCTACTCCAGCTTTACAGATCATCTGGAGTTTGTGGTCTCCGTTGCGGAATGCGATGATGTGGTGGGAACTCTGGAGATTAACTACAGACCCCCCGAGGAGCTAATCAGCAAGCTGGGCTATCAAAATCACGAGGCTCTGCAGGTTCAGGAGGGAGAAAGAGCTCTAATCACCAAGAATCACTTTGGGATTCGCTTCAACATCTACGAAAGTCTGCAGTTTCAGGTTTCCTCGAGTCCCGAACATGGTGTTATTTGCAAGTATGACGAGCAGACAGGCCTTACAACGCCCGTGGAAGTGTTTACCCTGGAACAGTTGTTCCGAAATGATATATACTACTGCCATGACGATACGGAATCCACCAGGGACACCTTTGAGCTGCTCATATTGTCGGGAGACGAAACAGATCTGCAGTTTGTCTCCAATATGGAAGTGCACATTAAGCTGGTGAACGATAATGAACCCTATCGCACTGCCATCGAGCGAATATTCCATGTGGTTCGCAATGGCATTAGGACCCTCAATCCCACAGTGCTGCAGTATCTGGATGCGGATGTTAATACCAACAACACGGATATCCACTACATCCATGTCTCCAGCACCAATGGAGCCTTCTACAAGAGCGGTCACTACATCGATAGCTTCACTCAGGATGATATTGCGAACCGGAGGATTATGTTCCAGCACACGGGTGCTGATTCTGGAACCGCTGCCTTCATAGTCACCGATCGTGAGCATGAGGTTAATGGCTTGCTGGAGATTCGTGCCTCAGATCCCTTCGTCTCCATGATGGCCACCAATGCCTCCATTGTTCAGGAGGGTAAATTCGTAGTGCTGAAAAACAAAGACTTTATACTGGAAACAAATTTGGATATGAAACTAGATGAGATTTACTACGAAGTGATCAAGCCGCCTTCGTATGGCATACTCATGTATTTGAGTAGCGCAAACGAGGGGGAGAATGGCACTACCATTTATAAGGCCACAAACTATACATCACTGAGTAACTTCACCCACTTGGATATTGAACGGGAGAGATTGGTCTACTGGAACACGGAAATTGCCTCAATGGATAAAGTTAGGTGAGTAACTATTAGCTTTTATACTATTTAGTAACACTAATTAATACAAATATTTAATACAGATATCGGGTGCATATCAAGAACATAACAGCTGAAGGAGAGGTCATGTTCCGGATTTATCCCTCGGCATATTGGGAACCGCTGCAAGTGAAACAGAACCACACTCTTTATGTGGAGGAATCCACTAGCGTACTGATCTCGAGAGATGTCCTAGAGGTAGGTGGTTTAATATCAGAATCCCTCCATCTAACTCTTATTTTCATCTTTAGGTCGTTCATCCCAATATTTCCCCCGGAGACATCACCTTTTTGGTTACCACCTCACCCATGCACGGCTATTTGGAAATGCAATCCATGTCGTTCGATGACGAATACAACTGCAAGGTTTTCGATCAGTCTTCCGTGAATACTGAAAAAATGTTTTACATACAAGCAGGAGTCAACCAATCCACTGATTACTTTGTATTTGATGTTACCAACGGCATTACGTGGCTAAGACAACTGACGATGAAGATCGTGATTATACCAGAGAAGCTGTACATGCACTCGAATATTGTATCTGTGGTAGAGGGAAAAACTGTGCAACTAAATCCCACAGATATGCAACCCTATTCAGAGTACTATCGGGGGAAGATACTGGAGTACATAGTGACCATTACCCCGAATTCTGGTCACATATTGGCTGGGAATTCGAAGGTCAAGAGGTTTACTCAGAAGCAACTAGAACAGGGTAATATACAGTATGTGCACAATGGCAGCGAAAATGCCACCGATAGCATCACTTTGGTGGCCATGGCTAGAAACAAGGAGAGTGTTCCCTTTGAACTGGAGTTCGCGGTGGTCCAAGTGAACGACGAGGAGCCCATGATGGTAACGAACACAGGACTTCAGGTGTGGAACGGTGGGCGCTATGTCATCAGGAATACTGATCTGTGTAAGTTGAAAGATAAAATATTTTGATTTAGTTCTAAAATTAATTGTGTTATTATCAGTGGCTCAAGATTACGACACTCCGCCGGAGAATCTCACCTTTGTGGTGCACCACATATATGGCGGCTATTTAGCTCGGAAATCTGCACCACATCACAAAATTGAGCAGTTCACCCAGGCCCAAATAAATCTCGAAGAAATCTATTTCATGCACGACTCCAACTCGAGGAGAAACGAACTTTCCTTTGTGGTTACAGATGGCCTGTTCAACACCACCACTCAAATGCTGAACATTGAGATCAAGCCCATTGAAATTCTGGCCGAGCACAATGAAAATCTTCATGTGTTTCCTTTAACCAAGAAGCAAATTCTTCGGGACTATCTCCACTTTAAATGTTCCGACGAGGAGCGGGAGATACGCTATAATATTACAGTTCCTCCAAGTCTGGGTCGCATAGTAAATGAGTTTATTGATAATGGCTTCACCAAGGAGGTCAGCGAATTTACCCAAAACGATGTGGATAATGGTCACATATTCTACGAACACACAGCTGTCATCATGGAATTCAGAACCAATGATTCGTTTTACTTTGATGTGGTGGCTGAAAGAAGCGATCGCTTATTGAATCAAAAGTTCAATATAGAGATATCGGTTTCCTCCGGAGGCTTACTAAGATTCCTGCCCGTAAACAAGCTAATTGTGGATGAAGGTGGTTCGGTGCCCATAAAGCTGGATTTCTCCAAGATTTTGGAGTATCTCAAAACCAAGGCCGGCATAAATAATCCAGAGCTGTTCATAGAGGCCGTTCAAAAGCCCACACATGGTAATATAGGCCTGGGTCACGAGTTCAAGCACATGCAGAGATATCACCCCAGTGATTTCTTCACAAAGAAGGTTTACTATATACACGATCATTCAGATACTTTGGAGGATACCATACTCATGTCGGTTTACCTGACACAAGGGTGAGTTTATAACACCTACATTTCTCTAAAATAAACAGATCTTAAAATTTTATATGCTTTTCTATTTATTTTCAGAAACATTTTCCTGTGCAATTTGACAATACCTGTGTCCATAAATCCCATTAACGATCAACCCTTCCATTTGATCACCCACCTGCCCCAAATGACGGTTGTCGAGGGTGAGAATCGTACTATAACGAGGAATGATCTGCTAACCGAAGATGCAGATACACCACCAGAGGAAATCATTTACGAAGTGATGAGTGGTCCTACTTTGGGAGTGCTTAAAAAGATCACAAACGAGGGACAAACCGAGGATCTTTTGGCTTTCTCAAATCAGTTTACCCAAGCGGATATTAACAACGATCGAATCATCTATGTTCACTTTGGCATGCCGCAGTCAACGACTTTTTGCTTCACTGTCTCCGACGGCCAATCGAATCCTGCCTACGAAATATTTACCATCAAAATAGTTGCAATAAATCTGCAACCATCTGCAATGCAAATACCTGTGAAGGTTCAGCAGGGAGCCACTACTGCCTTAATGAAACTAGATCAAATTGGAGTGACCACCAATGTTGACGTGGAGAGGTTGTCTTATAACATAACAAACTCCCCACTTTATGGTATCATTGTTTTCAAACATCAGCCAACTCTAAGGTTCACCCACCAGCAGTTGGAAACATCGCAGATAAGCTACATGCAAACGGATCTAAATCGATCGAATGACACCTTTCAGGTGAGTGCCTACGTTCCGGGCACCAATTATGCAGCTCAAGTCGACGTGGTGATGGAGGTGGAACCCGTTATACAAATCAATAATATTGCAATGAAGGAAGCCGATCCTGTTGGAGGCAAAATAAGGCTCGTCACCGCCTTGGACAACGATAATCCTTTGTCACTGAAACTCAACAAATTCAATCCCAAGTTTGTGATCACTAGGATGCCATCGACGGGGCAAATAAGAAAGATAATTCGCAGTACGGGCCTGACAGCCGATGGCCAGAATGAAAGGTCCACGAATATATTCTCCTACAAGGAGCTACGAAGTGGTGTGGTCTATTTTGTTCCCCATCAATCTGTGGAGGAGACGGAGGCGGATAATGACAGTTTCGACTATCAACTGCTCATAAAGACAGTACAACCTGCACAGGCCACTGTGTCGATTGAGTACAGGAGTCGGGCTGAGGAAACGGAGACGGTTCACTTGGGGAATGCAGGCCTGTCTATCAACTACCTAGCCATAGGATGTGCCATATTCATCGTGTTGATCTGCCTGCTCATCGTTCTATTAATATTGAAAATCAGAAAACTGCGAAAGCACAAAGCGAATATTTCCAAGGATCAGCCGCCGGCACTGCCCTGTCCCCCGGATTTGACATCCGTCAGTCCGCAGCACCACCTGCACCATCATCATAGCCACCACTATGCCAGTTCCGAGGCGGACTCTGTGCCTCCGACGGGAAATTCGACACCTTTGCCGGGCTTCAGCAATATACCCCATTGCAAGATCATACCCGTGGAGTCGTATAAGCACGAGTTTCCCGACTACGATCCGGATGAGGAGGAGACGGACGACCAATGCGATCCGCAGCAAATGATGCTGCCGCAGAGATATAATCCCTATCACATGGAGCACGATGCCTGGAGTTCGTCCTGCGACATGGCGAATGACTTTGCTGGCTATGCCTCCGTGCCGCAAAGTATTTCCGGATCGGTCAGTTCACCGCCCTCGGCCCCGCCCACCAATCCACTGCTAAGGCGGAATCAGTATTGGGTGTGAGTTACGAAAGCCCAGAAGCACTGAAGTAAGGGGATCAAAATATATACATGTTTCCAATTGGATCGAAAGTAGTCCTAGGTTATTTATTTAAGTTTAAGCTTACGTTTAAGGCTGATTTATGAGATTCGTTAGGACAAGTGGAGCATTTTATACACGAAAATATTAATTATAGTATGTAAAGAAACATACAAACATATCTGGCGTGTCATATACAAACGATTAGCAATAAGAACGAAAACAGGAGTTATACTCAAAAAGCCAACTTAACTTAGTATAAGAATTGTGTTTGCCAACGTGGAATACTTTTTACAATAAATGACAGTACCTTTAAGAGTGATTTGATGTTTTATTAAGCATTTAACAGATTTTTGGGTTGATTACTTTTTCCAATTGATAGTTGTCTTCCCGGATGGAAGAGTGGTGAGTAAAAATCAGAATTAAAAAATAAATAATGTATCAGAATTTAATATTTTGTGATGTAGTATTTTAGTTTATTTTAAGGAAAAAGTAAAATTAAAAATAGTTAATTTATCATTCATATTTAAAAAGGTCTACAAAAATATTTACTGATTTAATCTTTTATCATGCCTTTAAGTAAAGTTCGATTTTAAAACAAGAGGGAACGTTATAGTCGGATGCCCCGACTATCAGATACCCGTTACACAGGTAAAGGGAGTGCGAGGGAGATGGAGATAGAGATAGAAAACGTTGATCACGCATAACTTTTTAACGAATGGTCCGATTTGAAAAATTTCTTCTACATTTCGATAGGTATTGATAAACACAATAAAACTGCATTTTTACTTTTCCAAAATACTAAAATTTTTAAAATCGTATATAAGCGATTGTGGGCGTTAGAGGGGGCGTGGCACCATTTTGAAACAAACTTGCGCTGCGTAGGAACTCCTAAAATCTGCATGCAAAATGCCAATCTTCTAGCTTTTATAGTTTCTGAGATCTCAGCGTTCATACAGACAGACAGACGGACAGACGGACAGACGGACAGACAGACGGACAGACGGACATGGCTAGATCGACTCGGCTAGTGATCCTTATCAAGAATATATATACTTTATGGGGTCGGAAACGCGTCCTTCTCCCTGTTACATACTTTTGCACGAATACAATATACCAGTGGTGGCCAGCAGAAGCAGCACACATACAATAAAAGAATGCATTGCTTTTGTGTGAGTGCGAGCATGCACGAATTTGCCTGTGTGCGTGACGTTTTTCAGCTTGACAGTGTACATGTGCGCCGAAAGGCTGCAGCGCGCTGGCAGAGCAGCGGCAGAGAAATTGCCTATCCCGTGGGCCCTGCGCGCTGCCTCTGCTGGCCACCACTGCAATATACCCTTTTACTCTACGAGTAACGGGTATAATTACCTTAAATTAGTAGTACATGTTATACAGCTCGTATTTAATTAAGTATTTTCGGCCGCATTGGTTTTCATAAAGAGAAGAAATAAAACGTGCTTACACCTAATATTAACCAGTATAAATATATACAAATAATCACAAGTTTGTATATAAAGAGCTTATCCTATACACTTGATTGTGTATTAAATATCGAAAGGGGGCTTTTTGCTTAACAATTTACAAGAATATCACTAGTTTCAATGTGGTGCACATTTTGCTTTCGCTGGACTGATTTAAGTTCAAGAGTTCTTTTGAAGTACACATGTTTATGGCTTTAGAAAGCGACGGCAACGGTCGCCGTTGAGGGTTTCTCGGAAATCGGCGTTACTACCATGGCCTGATTATCGTATCCATAACCGATCTCCGTCATAACCGTAGTGGGCGTGGTACTGTTTTCCGCCGGATAGCGAGTGCTCACCGGCGTTGTCATGGTCACAACGGAACCCTCGGCGACACCTGCAATAAATCATGCAAATCATTAAAATGTGTACTACTTGAAAAAACAGACCGGACAGGTAGATCCTTGCACTTACCTGCCACACTGTAGATTTGCGACTGCGCCCGCTCAAGGTCGCCGTGGCGGTTGATGGCACTCATGTTCTGTATAGTGGTGGCATTGAGGTCCTTTCCATTCGAAGTCACCGTTTGAGGATATGCCTTTGATTGCAGGCGGCGCAACAGCTTCTGGAAGAACCGATTGCAACCCACCCACCGAAGGAATTGGAAGGTCCAGCGAACGGCGATCAGAACAAGGAGGATGGTCAGCAGCAAGAGGATCAAATGTTGGGTATTCTGGATGTCCAACATCTCCGCCTTCAGCGGCTCAAATGTCTTGTAAGCTGTGGGTAAAAACACTTTAAATAAATAAGTCGTTAAACAGTTTTGAGCTAACCCTACCAATGATTTAAATTTATGATATAGTAAGATACTTTAACTCTCAAGCATTTCTTGACGAATTTACAAAACCAATTAAGCTCAGCATTTCTTTGTTAAATTTTTAAATCATTTAAAATTGTAATAAGCAAATAAACAGCGTGCATAAAAAGATTTTCATCACTAAGACAAAGTACAAAAAATATATATACAAGCATGATAAAAAAAAGTAGGCGCACTGATAAAAAGAGATGAATAATAAATTTCCGGAATATCACATTGAAATGCGTGCATGCTATCGTGACCAAAACAAAAACCCTTTTTAATCTATCTTTTCAAACTGTACCACGATAGACAAGAAGTGTTTTTCACTCATGATAATAAAATAATAATATAAGTTCTTGTAAATATTAGCTGACTCTATCTTCAAGATTTGCACTTACACAAAGCAAGTGAATCAGAACTGCTCGAACACTAATTATAACTAAGACCTAACTAAAATTGCTAGAGTAAAAATATAATTCACAGTGCGAGTTCTAGCAAATCAATATAAATATATACTATTGATCTTCAAGATACTTAGCATCTTTTTTTTAGCAACTCATGGGAGATGAGTTAATCACCTGCTCAAACCACTGTAATTGCAAAACAATTGAATCCGCCTGGAAAAACCTGATCTCCCATATAACTTTAAAAATTACCCTACGGAACATCTGAGGTAATCTTTGAAGAATCTTTGGGTTTTACTTGCCTGAGCATTCCCTGAGGCACAATGTCGCATCGAAGTTGTGGGTTTGATTATTGCAGACCTCGATGCATGGGCGACAGCGCTCCGTTACAACATAGCAAAATTCATTCACCGGATGACAAATCATTCCATGGCATTCCTTACTGTCTCCATTGGCCGCTGCTACCAAAGAAAAGCTTGGTATCAACGGTATTCCGCCAATGGAAAGCGATAGGGCGCTCATTTTTCTGGACGGCATTTGAAGTATGTTTCGTTTTATTCCGGATATATTGCAGTTATGGCTGAGCGCGGTTTTATGTAACTACTGGGATAAATTGGTTTCCTCCTCGGAAGGTTTTTGTTTTGCTATTTTTAAACGTATCCAAAGTGTGATTCATACACCAATAACGCGGCCCAGACGCTTACTGACTTCTCTTTTAATTGTTGGCTTCTGGAGTCTGAGTATTTTTTGTTGCCTTTATACGTATTCACATGTGTATTGGTGCAAACGAGTTTAGATTGGCCAGGTTTCACAGCATTTTTCGTAGGTTTTCCTTTTAGTTTTTTCACAGCTTTACACGTTTCTTTTAAGCATACTCGAACCACTAATAATTTTATTTATTTATATAATTTAAATACAACAAAATTAATTGATTTTTATCCGTTTTAATATTTTTAACGTTGTTGGCCAGCGTTCACCGAAGCGTTTTGAGCCACATTCAACTCGTTACTGGCTGTAATACCTCGATCGCTCGCTGTTACCAACCACTCAGCACTCACACAGTGGCACCGTACTCAAATACCGACTCATCCGCTCCGTGACTTGACTTTTGTTTACCTTTTTTCACGTCGATTGTGGATGCGAATGTATCTCGATATCTATGCTGAGGCAGGTAACCCAAGTGTTTGTGTATCTGCGATCGTCTGTTTATTTTTTGTTTTGAGTGAAATACTTCCCGACTTCTGAATACTTTGAACCCGGCTTCAGTTGCTTTCATCCCGGCAGCATTTGGACTAATGAATAAAAATAACATCGGGGGAGTAAAATATAAACACAAGTGCCAAAAAATAAAATCTCTCTTACACACTACTATTGCTTAACTATGTTACTATCAAACTATGTGTTTGTGTATCTGCGCTCGTCTGTTTATTTTCTGTCTTTTGTGAAATACTTCCCGATTTCGGAATACTTTGAACCCGGCTTCAGTTGCTTTCATCCCGGCAGCATTTGGACTAATGAAAATAAATAACATCGGGGGAGTAAAATATAAACACAAATGCCAAAATATAAAATCTCTCTTACTCACTACTATTGCTTAACTATGTTACTATCAAAGCCTTGAATTAAAATGATAAATGACTAGCGCTGTAGATCCATATATGTAATTTTCGAGCCAGAGACTTTTTGTTTGTATGTATGTATGTATGTACGTATGTTTGTATGCCTTTTTTAAAGTGATTCAAATTTATTTCAATTTTCTATAAGATTTTTTTTTGTTTGTAATCTTTGTTTTTATAAAACTATTTCGGATATACATATAGTTAATCTATATTTTCAATATATTTTTATGACAATATTAAATTATACTACTTGACTTACACATATATTTCTCTCAGTATCGATTTTGCGAGGAGAGTCGAAACTCGCTATACCAATTCAAGGGTGTGTGTCTTCGCTAAAGAGCATATTTAATGGCAGCATTGAAGTTCTCTACATACTTTTTTATTCATACGACTGGATTTAATAAAATTTAATAAATGAAATATTTATTTTAATACACAATTTACAAAGAAATATTTAAAAATGTGTTTGTTAAACACTTTAATTAAATTTAAATTTGAATTGTTTTTCAAACTTGGCAGCACTTTTCCCCCTCATAGTTTCCAGCCCTTCCAAGCGCTCTCTCAATCTCTCTGCTCACTTCCATTGCAGTGCCGCTTGCGAGATACTTTTGTATCTGCTTCCAGTGCCCAGCGCCGCTTGCAGTGTTATTGTTACTTCCAGTGTGCTGGACTGGATGGGATGGCCAAGTCAAACAACATCCATTCGCTGAGCGGCTTTCGCTGTTGAATGAGCTGTTTTGGTGTTTTCGTGGAACGACGGCCGCCGGTTTGACGCGTATCTTTGAGATACAAAAATTAAATCGAATCGAATTGCAGCTGTCGTTACGCGCGTGTTGCCGATGGAAATTGTGGAATTATAACAATTATTTCTCGTGTGGAAGTGTGAAAGTGAAATAGTCGCACCAAGAGCGACGCAATTAGATGAAAATATAGTTTGCTCACGCTCTGTATCCCGTGTATTGTTGTATCTTTTGTGCGAGCTCGCTTCAACAAGTAAACCAAAATAAAAAATCACTCGAGTGGAAGGCGGTGCGTCCTTGAGCTCCCATTTTTAAACACCTGCTTTAGAACCGCGATACAGATACTCGATTGCGATTTGATCAACCGAAAGAGACAGCCGCAGCCAGTTAGAAAGAGAGAGAGAGGGGAGCGAGCGGGCGAAAGAGATGAATAATTTCACAACCACAACAGCAGCCGCACCACCAAAGGAAGCGCTGCCCCGATCAGGACATGTTAATGAGGGTAAGCATGGGTTAAGAACCGAACCAACCCGAACCAACGCATTTCGAAATTGGTTGAACATGAACAATTTCGTACGGGGCCTTGGATAATTGGAAATTGATTGGGTTTGAGTGGGGCTATTGAGATGCGGCATCGGGGGAAGGGGCACTGCATAGAAGTGATTAATTCGAGGTCTTTTAGAATTCCTCTTTGACGTTTTCTACCCTTGATTTAAACTCTCTGGGTATTTCTTTAACAAAATTCTCTCGCCTGTGATCAAATGTATTTTTAAAAAGGTTTTTGATATTCCTTTTGCATCCGTATTCCTTAAAAATTCAGATTCTTTTGTTTCTTCAAGAATTCTCAAGCATTATAATTGTTAAACAAAAAAGGGAATTCCTTTCCATTTAGTTTCGACTTTAATATTATTTTTTTTCAATTATTTTATAATAAAAAAGTATTGCGATGACACATTTTATCTAAAATGTTAATGGTATGGTTAAAAAGTTTATATGAAGAAATAAAAAAGGTTTCTTATTATTTAACTACAAAAAAAAATAATAGGTACTTAAAAAATACATATGAATCAAAAATCCATTACGAAATTCACGAGCCATTCATAATTATGGATTTGCAATCTTTTTGAAGAAATTATTAACGAAAATTATTCTTGCACTTCCTATACCACCATTCATTCCAACGATCCGATATCTTTGAATGCCGACATCAGCAAAAACAAACATTAGAGTTCCCAGAACTTCTTGAGTGTCGTATGTGCCTTGCGGTTCATATGTAAGCTATTTTTCTGTTGATTCAGATGTAAACAAACCCCATCGAGCACGTTTCCCCTTATCGCGTACGACTTGACCTTATGTAACAATCAAAACATTTGCATTGGAAAATATTACAACATGAAAAGCTGGCTCAATCGCCACATTGAATAAGCTCAATTAATTGAAAACCGAATACGAAATGCTCGATGACAAAGAAATGGCTGTTGTGCAAATCCCTGGGACAGCATTTAGTATTTGTTGTTATGCTAATGAAAAAGATTGCCCAAAAGAAGAAAAAATAATACACAGAAGACACGGCTGAAAAAACTTTCTCGACGCTCAGTCACAATCGCAAGAAGTTGGCGAGTTCCCTCTTTTTTGGGGGGTTTTGAAAGTCTTTGTGAGACGATAAACAAAAACAAAGACTGCCAGTCAGCAGCTAAGGAAACCGCATAGTTCAGACCAACGACCGAAAGCGGGCAAAGCTGTGAAGAAAAAAAATTCAGTTGAAAAATAAACAAACACCGAACTCTTATATAGTTTTCTTTTAGACCAATCGAGGGGAAGCCGTGCGATCCCCGCTACAGAAAGGGAAAATATACAGTGTAATTTTTTCTTTTTGAAGGTGCAAAAAATGATTGCCGCCAGCACTTTCCATTTAATGGCTACACTCAACCAAAAAATGAATAAATCCGTTAACTACTGTCAGCACAAGGTTGTAAATCTTTTTTCTTCGTTAAATTATACTTCTTATACATTTAAAAAACATTAAATATGGATATTATTGTTAGTATATACTTACACTTATACACTTTAGGTAAAATACTTTATTGATAAAAAATGTCTTTAACAATCCTAAGGACAACACTTTAATTAATTTTTATTTGAAAATTAAAATTGTGCTTTGACTTTTATACAGCTTTACCCAGTTGTAGACCGATTTCTCTGAGATTTTTCGGCAGTGCAGACATGCAAAAAGGCTGGTTCCGAGCATTTGTATCTTAAAGATACAGCGCGTGCAGCAGGCAACAGCTGACGGTTAGCCGAGGGGATTGCAGCCGCTTCATTTGCGCCCAAGCACGCATGACAAAAGACCCCCACAAAGAGTCGCCCCTCGGTTTGAAATAGCCGTGCCTCCAACTGAAACTCACTCAACTGCTGGCCTCTTTTTTTTTTGCCAACCAGCCTGACTGACAAGTGAAGGGGTTTTTTAGGGGGGGAGCTATGATGGGAAGGGGGTGACGGGGGCACAGCAGCCCCAGCAGCAACAGAAACAGCAGCAGTTGCATGACGAGCCGCCTGAATGCAGTTTATTTCTTTTTGCCTGCATGCCAGGAATGATTCACTTGCCAGGCCACGATGACAGGATGTGCGAGTGCCAGGAAAGAGGGCTCCTCCATTTGGATTTGGCTCTTAACATTTCTATGGGGATAGCACTTAAAGGAAACTCAAACCTCACTCCTTTGTGCCCCTTTTATATCGCTTTGTCATGACTTGCGGTGGCCTATAAAACAACTTTTCAAGAAGCCCAAGTAATGGAGTTCCCAAGGAGTTGGGAGATATTCCACCTCAAGTGCTGCTGAAAGTCTAAATAAACTGAAAAGTATATGCAGAAAATTGCACTTGTATCTAGAACACAAATTTAGGTAATGTAAAGAATACTTGGGGTTCTTATAGCCACTCGACCTATTTTCTTTTTTTTTTGTGTAAAATTGTTGTATGATTTGATGATTCATTAAATGCATATCAATTCTTCTTATATTAATTCTATACTAACACATCCTTAATGGAGTTTATAGTTGGTTAATAGCTATAATGAACAATTTGCCTGGGGCGAAGACTCAGAGCTACTCAATTTGATAATTAGTTTAATATATAAAACTAAATGCTAGCCTTTCCAAAGACTGTGCGTCATAATATTCCAAAAAGGAAACCAAAAGGAACATTATTATAGTAAATATTTAATCAGCCCATTTATTGATATTTATAAAAAAAGATGTAAATGAAGAATTGAAGAAACCAAACGAGGCATTTTAAACTGCTTACTTCCTCTTAGGTTTCCTCAAAAACAGTGAAAGCTTACCTGGCTTAATTCATAAGTATCGTAGCATGAAACCGAAATTAAGTTAATTTTTGGGCTTTGCTTTGCTGCCACAAAGCACAACACTCGAATAGACAATTATTGGCCTTTCCGCTTTGGATATGCATAACTTGGCTTATGAGTGCCTGAGAGGCAATTCAATCAATCAACGGAAACCGAAACTGAACCCGAAATGTGAGTTCATTTGAATGAAATAAGTTCGAGACCGAGACGTTGCAGCCAGGCTAAGGTCAATGTAAGGCTGGCTAAATATACTGCAGTGTGTATCTGTATCTGAGGTGTATCTGTATCTGTCAGATGCAACATTCAAATAGTCGACATTGCAGGC